AAAAGAGCACTAAGGCCAGCCACCAACCTATTCAGCTCCCCTCCCATTTCTCTGAGAATCACATTCACAAGATTTGAAAACAAAATGCATACACATCTGATGGGGGGCATAAAGACAAATGCTATACAGCTGTAGATAATCATGTATAAGTCTAGAAGTTATCTTCAAAATATCAACCCAAAAAACATGGGCCAACCTAGCTACAGATTAATGTGAGCACTGTACATTAATTTTTTTTAAGGATTTGTTCCCTTCCTCTGAGTAGAGTGGTGAAAGGTAAGAGCTTAATCTGTCCTGGGAGAACCTAAAAGAAGCACCAATCCCTCTATTCTCTCCACTGTGAAACCACTCCTAGCCTTTTTGAGCGACTGGGTGGGAAAATAGTGGCAGCGGATCCCTGGCACTATCCTCTCACCACAAAATGTCCCTCGACATCTCCATGGGTCATTATCATTTTGCCCAAAACCTACCCTCGACTTATGCATAAGGTTGACTTATAGACATTGTAACGCCTCTTTCAACAGCAAATACCATCTCCCAGTACATAGGTATATTGAACAAGGGATGTCATTTGTCAAGCAAGCTAAAAGGGATGTGGGGGAGAACCATTTTACCCCATTACAAAGATAATCACCTAAAGCCTAACCCTGCCAAGACACAAGTGTGTGCTTTCCACCTATGCAACCACGAAGCCGAAAGTCACCTGGGAAGGTCAAGAGCTTGAACATTGTTTCCATCCTAAATATCTCGGTGTCACCTTAGATCGAACACTAGCATATAGGAAACACTGCTTGAACACCAAGCACAAAGTAGCTGCACAAAATAACTTACTGGCAGAACATGGGGTCCAGACCCAAAATTAGTATCATCAACCTTAGAGTTGTCTTACTCAACTGCCGAGTTTGCCTGCCCTGTTTGGCATAGGTCTGCCCATGCAAAGCAAGTGAACATAGCATTGACTGAAACATGCAGAATAACCACAGGATGTCTTAAACCTACACATGTTGATAAACTCTACAAGCTAGCTGGCATTGCCCCCCTGATGTGCGCCAGGAATTTGCTGCTAAATGTGAGAGAAATAAGGTTGAACACTGTGAAAGCCCCCCACTGCCTGGCTACCAGCCTCCTCCCAGTAGACTCAAATCAAGGAAAAGCTTCATGAGAACTACCAATCCTCTTGGCGTCTCCCCAGCAACAGCAAGGGTATCCCTCTGGGCAGATAGACCAAGAAATCCCAACTGGATGGCTCCCCAAGAGGGAGGGTCTTCTTCCAGGGACAAACTAAGAAAGGGCAACTTGGAAGTCCGGAACAGACTCAGAGGTGGAGTGGGTAGAACAAAAGGAAACCTGGCAAAATGGCACTACCTAAAAGAATCCCACACCTTGTGTGACCGTGGAGCAGAACAGACAACTCTGCACCTGTATGCTTGTCCACTCTGCCCTGCCTCGGTCAGAGGAATCATAGAATCAAAGAGTTGGAAGAGACCTCATGGGCCATCCAGTCCAACCCCCTGCCAAGAAGCAGGAATATTGCATTCAAATCACCCCTGACAGATGGCCGTCCAGCCTCTGTTTAAAAGCTTCCAAAGAAGGAGCCTCCACCACACTCCGGGGCAGAGAGTTCCACTGCTGAACGGCTCTCACAGTCAGGAAGTTCTTCCTCATGTTCAGATGGAATCTCCTTTCTTGTAGTTTGAAGCCATTGTTTCGTGTCCTATCTCCAGGGAAGCAGAAAACAAGCTTGCTCCCTCCTCCCTGTGGCTTCCTCTCACATATTTATACATGGCTATCATATCTCCTCTCAGCCTTCTCTCCTTCAGGCTAAACATGCCCAGCTCCTTAAGCCGCTCCTCATAGGGCTTGTTCTCCAGACCCTTGATCATTTTAGTCGCCCTCCTCTGGACACATTCCAGCTTGTCAATATCTCTCTTCAATTGTGGTGCCCAGAATTGGACACAGTATTCCAGGTGTGGTCTAAGCAAGGCAGAATAGAGGATGAGTAGCATGACTTCCCTGGACTAGACACTAGCTCCTATTGATGCAGGCCAAAATCCCATTGGCTTTTTTTGCCACCACATCACATTGTTGGCTCATGTTTAACTTGTTGTCCACAAGGTCTCCAAGATCTTTTTCACAAGTACTGCTCTCGAGCTCTTGAAAAATTGTTGGAGGCTACAGACAATGCCATTGCTGTTGTCCATTTTTGGTCAAAAGATATTTAGCCACCTGTGCTCCTTCTATTTTTATTGGTTTTATACTCATTTAAGATATGCTTTTGATACAAAATAAATAACCCCACAATTCAAAACCCATTTTGTAATACATATTCTACACCATCCTTCACACCTCCAGTATGAGCCCCACCTGCACACTTTCCCTCATCATCCATTTATACTACCCACATTAAATGGAAGGAGCCCATAAACACTGCCTTGAGCTCTTTGGAGGAATGTCATTAACGAAACAAATTACTCTGCTTGCAGAGCCGGTTGCTTCACTGCACGCACTCTGCTTCCATCGCCAGTAGTTGCCGGAGCAGGCAGAGGAAGACCTGGTTTGTTCCTCAAGTGGAGAACTCACAATTACAGCTCAGCAAGCGCAGGAAGGAAATTGGGGCTCTTCTTCCAGCTAGAATCAAAGTGAAATGCTTAACTGCCCATTATCCAATTCCAACTCTGTGAGCAATATTCATTCAGCCATCCAAGACCTACGTAATCGCAAAAGGAAATGCAGGTCTGCCAACGACTAAATGCAGAAGCTTATGCTAGGAGCGATAGCTGCCACCCAAAATCAGAACATGTAACGGCAGGAAGAGATCGCAGTGTAGGTGGTATATCATTTTCAATGGCTTCCCTGCAGTTTTTAAATATCTGGCTGCAAGTGGAGTATAGAATTCAAATATAACTCTCTTAGTCATATTATAATCATTTTTTCCCATATGTTAACTTTTCAGCAGTTTCGATTTTAGAGGACAATTATAGCTATTTTTGATTCTGGTATTAATCACCCTGACCCCCCACCCCACCTCGCACCCCACCCCAAAGGCTCTCTAGATGAGCATATTTTGAAGCAAGAAGGAAACTAAGATCAGCATCTCCACCAGATGTCCCTATACACCACCCCAAAGGTAGAACATGCTGAGACTCCCCTTGCATGGAGATATTAAGAGGAAGCATAGCTAAGCCAAAGTCTCGGTCAGGATTTTGTAGTCTGGCTCTTGTATTGGTTGCTTAAAGGGTAACCTGGCTGGAATCTGAAGTCCAAAAAGGACTGAAAAGGTAGGAGAATGCCAACCCCTCACATGTCATGTCAGAAAATCAGTAACAGCAGAATTTTTACAGTTGTTCTACAAATGCACACATACATACACAGAGGGCTGATAAAGAAAACCGATAAGTTGCATTCATGCTACTTAACTAAGTACAAAAAAGAGTGAGGATTTAAATTTAATAAATAAATATACACAAGTGAGGAAAATTAGCTTTTCTAAACTGAAGAAATTCAAGCAAAACTTTCAACTGCACTAGCAAAGCGGATTAAACTGCCAGCTATAGAAGATCCTGTCGACCGGAAGGTCAGCAGTTCAAGCCCAGGTTAGGGTGAGCTCCTGCCGTCATCCCAGCTTCTGCTTACCTAGCAGTTCAAAAACAACAATGTAAGTAGATAATAGGTACCACTTTGGAGGTAAAAGGTGCCCTGAAAACATTCTGGTAAAAAATCTGACCAGGAAGGTGTCTATGGACGACAGGCTCCTCATCATGGAAAATGAAACAACGGCCCCTCCCCATGGCCAAGTCGAGCACAGCCGGATGCTGGAGATGAAAAGAGGGAAGCCTTGCCTCTGTTTATGTACTGTCTGTTTTTGTCAAGTGTATAATGGCATTCATTGTTTGCCATATATGTACCTGTAATCTGCTCTGAGTCCCCTCAGGGAGATAGAGCAGAATATAAATAAAATCTATTATTATTATTATTATTATTATTATTATTATTATTTTTCAGAAAGGCAGCCTTTTTAGTTTGTCACTAAAAAAGCTAAATGTCGCAGCTCAGGATAGATTCACCTTGCTCAGAACACCACACCAAAGCTGAAGGTTTTGTAGTTTATTGAAGAAAACAAAGTCTTTAACATAAAAGTAGAGTTTCAAAAGTCCAATGGCAAAAGCAAAGTCTTAAATGCAAAGGCAAAGTTTCCAAAGTCCAATGGCAAACAACATGAAGCATAATCCAAAGGCATTGATCAAACAAGAATCCATGGCAGCATGACAGAGTCCCAAGGAGCCAAGAACAAGTCAAAGTCCCACAAAGCCAAAAGCATCGCCCGAAAGCCAAGGCAATCCAGAGAAGTTACCAGGGTGTTTGCAGAAGTTGCACTGACAGCTCGTTTAATATACTTTCCCAGCATGAACACATTCCTTTAACCTCTAACCTCTCTCTTGTTAGCATGCCTCACACTGCGACGAACCCTGAATTGCAAGCGATCCTCCCTATCTAAATCTGCTGAGCCTTCAAAGTCGGATAGCTCATTACCCTGAGAATCGGCAGGCTGAGAGCTCACCTCCTCCACCTGCACCTGGGGAGTTTCACTAAGATCAGAAACATCTTCCAAAACATTCCTTGCCAAGGGAAACTGAAACTCCTCGTCTCCAGTATCAACGTCGTCTGCATCAACAGGAACGTGTTCAGGAATCTGAAACCCATCAGCGTCTTCCTGAGGGGCTCCAGCTGAGCCACAAGACTAAAGGCCTAAAATAGTAATCACCAGAAAAGGGAATCTATGGGCCAGACTCTGCAAGAAGTCCATTAGTCAACTCTGCCTCTATTTCTATGCAGGCATCATAAAACCAGAAATTATAGTATGCTTCCTGTTACTGCAAGCTATGGTATCTTTGACCCAAAACCCTGAGGGGAAAAGTCAATTTATAAAACTATATAACTAAAACATTTAAAATTCTAGATCTTTTTCTTTTTTTTTTAAAAAAAAAGGACAAAGTATATACCTAGGAGTGGAGTTTGTGTCACATTAGGTACGTGTTGCCTTCTGAACATTTCCGAGGGCGTAACAAAGCCTTCCTCCATCATTGGGAACTCTGTCAAGTTATAAGCTCTAGGCGTCTGGCCGAGCCTCCATCCTACAGACACGATCAGATTGCTGGCATCCACTTCTGTACAAGGTTGGTACCATTCTTCTGTCTCCTGAAAAATATAGAAGGCAACAGATTTCCAGAAAGTTTATAGAGACTCGACATTATTAGTATTGAGCACATATTTACAGCGAGCTCTCAGTATCTGCTGGGGTTTGGTTCCAGGACCCTCTGTGGATACCAAACTCTGTGGATACAGTCCATACAATGGCATTATAAAAAAATGTCCCTTATATAAAACTAGCCATCCCCTGCCACACATTGCTGTGGCCCAGTCTGGTGATCTGGAAAATAAAGTAATGAGAAAGTGTTGGTTTTTAATGTATATAATTTCTTTGTGCTTGTGGGTAAGCAGTATTTCTTGCTGTTTCTTTGTCAGTGTTGATGTGGAGATTGTCTGGTTGGCCTACTCTGGAACAGGCAACATATCTTTGTCCTTCTTTAGGGGTCCCTTTCAAATCTATGAGACTATATGTGTGTGTGTGTGAATCATATATATCAATCTATATCTATGGCTGGATGGCTCTTTGTCTGGAGGGCTTTGGTTACATTTTCTTGCCCTGCTGAAGGGAGTTGGACTGGATGGCCTTAAGTATTTTCTGTTGGTCATGGAGGTTCTGTGTGGGAAGTTTGGCCCAATTCTGTCGTTGCTGGGGTTCAGAATGCTCTTTGATTGTAAGTGAACTATAAATACCAGCAACTACAACTCCCCCAAACTCCATTTGTGTGCATACTTGGGCATATGGAATATTTGTGCCAAGTTTGGTCCAGATCCATCATGGTTTAAGTCTAAAGTGCTCTCTGGATGTTGGTGAACTACAACTCCCAAACTCAAGGTAAATGCCTATGAAACCCTTCTTGTGTTTTCTGTTGATCATGGGAGTTCTTTGTCCCAAGATTGGTTCAATTCAATCATTGGTGGAGTTCAGAATGCTCTTTGATTGTGGGTGTACTATAAATCCCAGCAATTACAACTCCCAAATTACAAAATCATTTTTTTTGAGTGAAGGACATACATTGTGTTGTTAGGTGTATTGTGTCCAAATTTGGTGTCAATTTGTCCAGTGGTTTTTGAGTTATGTTAGTCCCACAAACGAACATTACGTTTTTATTTGTATAGATGGCGAACAGCTCAAAGGAATGCTGGAGATAGCCCAAGGACATGTGAAATGGGGGCTACAGGAGGGTATGCCTACACATCAGAATATCGACACACTTCTGTTATTTGCAAGGCTGTTGCAATCTCAAGTAAAGTTATCATTCTGTTGATACACAATGTGATAAACGTGTTTCGAGCTAGAATGTCAGCCACTAACATTTATTAAAATAGATAGGCTTTGCCCACATTGAAAATCCCTTTAGTAATCCTCTACAATACTAAAAACATGCAATGTTTGTTTAGTGTTTAGGCTTCTGTGGGTGGATTTGCTTCCGCAGGATGGACACGACAGACTACCGTGCAATACAAAAATCCTACAGCTATCAATAAGCTACAAAATCCGGTCCTACAGGTCACAAGAGAGCATGGTCGCAGCACACATTGCTGTTATGCACCTCCAACTTATGGCAATTCTATTCCAGTGTTTTCCTGGCAAGATTTCTTCAGAAGAGATTTGCCATTTCCATCCTGGAAGGCTAAGAGGATGTTACTTTTCCAAAATCATGCAAAGGATTTCCATGACTGACTGGAGGATTTGAACTCTGGTCTCTCAGAGTTCTAATCCAACACTCAAGTCAATATGAACATGCTACAGCTCCTTAGTGCATACACCTCAGCTCCTTAGTGCATACACCTCACTATAAACAGTCAAGATGAGGAATTTCAGAATGTATCTTCTCCTAAGGTAGATCAAATAGTGGCAATGGAAAAAAGGAAAGGGGGGAAATCCTTATATGCCTTCCTGATCTTATAAGAATTTCATTCAGAATTCTCTCATAAGCTGCAGTTGTTTAGTGTTTTAAAGTTGTTTGTGAGTTATGGCAACCCAATGGTGAATCTAGGGTTGAGAGTGTGTGATTCACCCAAGGTCAAATGAAGAATGGTGCCCCGGGTCTCCAGAATCATAGTCTAAGCCTCAAACCACTATACACTGCTTGTTGTCCTCATAACAGTAGTCACTTCAGGAAAAAAAAAAAAAGCTGGGGCTGGAATATGAGGAGGAGGAAGATATAAATTTTATTTCTTACCCGCCTCTCCTCTCGAAAAAGGGTACAACATAGTTATAGTAACATAAATAAAAAATAAAAAAACTTTTAAAAGTCTCCTTTGGCCAACTGTTGATCTATCAGTTCACTAAGCAGAGACAGAAAGTGGGACTGATGGGTTCACTGATGACTTGGATTGTGGGCTTTCCTGGAATTCATTCAGACATAGGCCAGGAAAGTACAGGCCGTGAAAGTGAAACCATTTCAGATGTGGAGCTTGAGAATCTAATTGTTTCTGAACTTCAAGGCCAGTTAGAATCATCCTCCCTAGATAAAGACTCCAATGAAGAGTAATTAATGAGGGACCTTCATGGGAAAGCACCTGGTTGTTGTGACCTAAGCAAGGAAATACGCTTGCAGACTAGAGCAGATAGCCAGCTTTGTAGAGCAACACGGCATCCTGAGAAACGGAAATCCCAGGGCAGACGGCATGCTTTCATGTCTCTGTATTAGGAGCTAAGGTTCTCCTCTGACTACAGTTCAGGCAACGTGGCCTTCAAGTTAACATCTAGGCCTGGCTCTCTCATTTCAAGTCTTGGTTTTGGATATAAGTATTTCATGTTCTTGCCTTGTATTCTTGCTCAAATTCTGCTTATGGACTTAAGCCTTGGTATTTTGGAGCTATTTTTTGACTATTTTACCAGTGGATTCACAAGAGAGAATTGACTGCCAATTATTTGGATTATAAACCTGATTTCCTTATTTCTGGATTTTTTTTCTATTGTTGTTCATTTGTTCAGTCGTTTCCGACTCTTCGTGACTTCATGGACCAGTCCACGCCAGAGCTCCCTGTCAGCCGTCACCACTCCCAGCTCCTTCAAAGTCAATCCAGTCACTTCAAGGATACCATCCATCCATCCATCCATCTTGCCCTTGGTCGGCCCCTCTTCCTTTTTCCTTCCATTTTCCCCAGCATCATTGTCTTCTCTAAGCTTTCCTTTCTTCTCATGATGTGGCCAAAGTACTATATATATCTTTTTTTGTGTTTTTACAATAAACGGTTTGCTTCTATCTTGGACTCCTGTGTGTCTGGGGTGTGACACTTTGCTTCCAGGCAATATTGTCTAGGATCAAAGTTTTGGCTTAATAATAATTATTATTATTATTGTTATTATTATTATTACCTGCCTCTCCTCATGGTTCGAGGCAGGTTATAAAACAATTAAAACACATACACACTGTAAACCCCCCAAAAATATACACATATTATAATGTACCTCTATAAAATCCACACACCAATAAGTATCTCTATAAAATACATATTAAAATGTGAATGTAATAGTGTATGTTTAATTTTAAGGACTTCTAGAGTTCCAGTCCCCCAAAACATTTGCACTGGACTTGACTACAGGAAAAATCAAGTGGATAAAAGATAATAATGGGAAGAAACAGAAGAACCATCCAGTGAAAAGATAAAGAATATTTCCATAATGTATGCTATACCAAGGAGAACGAGGTGACTGGTAAAGCTATAAAATTGTTTTTTAAGCAAATATATTAATAAATAAACTGTTTCACTGCATAGATGCAGAACACATCCTTGAGAAAATAATCTAGTTTCAAGATCCAATTTAATCTTCATTTTTTACTTCTGAAACACCAGTCACACATTCAGAAGCTATTTCCCCAGATTTCTGCTGCACAGACAAGACAGCTGATCCATGCGCCGAGAGAATTTCATTAAGTCTGTCTCCCACCAGTTCAGCAGATATCTATTTTATGCAGCAGTTGTTGCCGGAAAATATACAAGCTGCCAATTCCAGATGTTCAGGGGCACAAATCAGATCTCTAACAGCTCTCTGCCTACATTCTGTTTCTCAGGCTGAAATCCCATGAAGACCTGCTTGAGAATAAAAGAACAGCTGCTGACTTGCAACTGCAAATCTCTGAGGGGTCATCTGTGAACTCACACGTACGTGTCATTTTGCACCCGCACAGATAATTATTGGGAAACTCCTAAAATTGATAAGAGCCATTTATGGAGATAGCCCTACACACACCAATTGGAAATGCATTAGCATTCCCATTCTCGCTCTCAGTTCCTTTGCATCCACTGCAGTGACAGTGCAATACAATGCGGCCTATATATAAATTTCAATAGCCTTCTTTGGAGGTAATAAACAATCTAGCAGTAGAAATCACTGGATCTGAGTCTCTCTTTTCATTTCTTGGACTAGTAAACTTGTTATATGGCTACAAAAAATTAAGACTTTTATGAACAGAAAACCTCAAACTAGAGATAATAAGGCTTCAACAGCCACTGATCAATTTAATGGAATATTGGGAGTTGTAGTTCAGTGAAGGCCCAGCAATCTTTGGCAGAGAAGGCTACAGATCTTATAAAACTACAATTGCCAGGATTTCCTAGCAACTGAGTCGTAGCAGTTAAAGTGGAGTCACACTGCATTAATTCTACAGTATAGATGCACCCATAGTCTATGTAAATGGCTAGTAGATGATGGACTAGACCCAAAGCTTCCATGAGTGCAACCCTATCCTTGATTAAAGGAGAAGTGCGTAATTTCCTTCAAATTGCCCCCCCCCCCAAAAAAGCTACATTGAAGGTTATTCTTGTACCCCATCTCCATCTCCCCAAAGGGAGTCGAGGAGGCTTACAAAACATAAAATACACACACAGTACAATACAATAAAGTAAATACTACAGCATATAAAAACAACAATTTAAAACTCTGAACAATTCCCAATGACCTATGGTGATAATTACCGTAAGGCATGGCCAAACTGTAAACAAGACATGATCCAACCAGTCCATACTTCAGGAAACAAAGCCCAACTGCTCATTGGAGGGAAGGATAGTGGAGGCAAAGATAAAGTCCTTTGGCCACATCATGAGAAGAAAGGAAAGCTTAGAGAAGACAATGATGCTGGGGAAAATGGAAGGAAAAAGGAAGAGGGGCCGACCAAGGGCAAGATGGATGGATGGCATCCTTGAAGTGACTGGACTGACCTTGAAGGAGCTGGAGGTGAGGGCCAACAAGGAGCTCTGGTGTGGGCTGGTCCATGAGGTCATGAAGAGTCGGAAACGACTGAACAAATGAACAACAATAACAGGGCCTGGGATAAAAGTGCAGTGCTGTGTCATTGATTGCGGACCATTCGGGCTAGACATTCTCAAAAGCTTGTTTAAACATTCCAAGATCCCTATGGGAGGAGGACAGTGTAGAGGCCTGCCTTATCTCCCTGGGGCGGGTGTTCCAAAGCCGGGGGGCCACCACCGAGAAGTCCCTCTCCTTCGTCCCCACCAATTACGCTTGTGACGGTGGTAGGACCAAGAGAGAGGGCCTCCCCAGCAGATTTAGAGCATGAAGGATACATGGGGGGGGGGGTGGACACAAAGATAGACAGGGCCCAAACCATATAGGACAGTGGTTCTCAACCTGGGTCCCCAGTGTTTTTGCCTACAACTCCCAGAAATCCCAGTCAGTTTACCAGCTGTTAGGATTCTTGGGAGTTGAAGGCCAAAAACATCTGGGGACCTCAGGTTGAGAACCACTGATCTAGGACTTTATAGCCCTAGGCCAGCGGTTCTCAACCTGGGGGTCGCGACCCCCCGGGGGGTCGTTTGGCCATTTTCTGGGGGTCGCCAAGCCGCATTGGCTAGCCACGCCCCCTCCAAAATGGCGGCCGACCCACAAGTCAATTGTACTGATAGGCTGCTCCTCCTGATCTTCCCAGAGATCTGTGGATAGTCAGGAGGAGAAACTTTGGATGAAGAAGACTAACCATTTGGATGAAGAAGACTCACCTCTGTTCCGGGCTAAAGGGTGAATAAACGTCGATCCGCCCAAGATGGAGGCGAGGGGCGGGCGGGAGACTCCGGTGGCGCTAGGTCACAGGCAGAGCCTCCCGCCCGCCTCCCGTCTCCTTCAGCTGGAAGATGGAGGCGAGGAGCGGGGGGAGGCTCTGCCTGCGGCCTAGCCGCCACCGGAGCACCCCGCCCGCCTCCCGTCTCCTTCTGCAGCTTGAAAGAGCGAGGGGCGGCGGGAGGCGCGAGGCCGCAGGCAGAGCCATCCACCCGCTCCTCGCCTCCATCTTCCAGCTGAAGGAGACGGGAGGCGGGCGGGAGGCTCTGCCTGCGGCCTAGCGCCACCGGAGCCTCCCGCCCGCCTCCCGTCTCCTTCTGCAACTTGAAGATGGAGGTGAAGGGCGGGCGGGAGGCTCCGGTGGCGCTAGGCCGCAGGCAGAGCCTCCCGCCCGCCTCCCGTCTCCTTCAGCTGGAAGATGGAGGCGAGGAGCGGGCGGATGGCTCTGCCTGTCAGTTATGGCCAGTCAGTTATATTACATTTCTTACAGAGCAAAGCAAATAAACAGAAAATACAAAATGTGTGAGTTTGGTAGTTTATTAAATGTCCTTTGAACATCATCTGGCCCCTTGATGTTGCCGCAAGAAGGCTCTCCATGGTGCATGTGGCTGGGCTCAGGTTGCATTGCACCAGGTGGTCAGTGGTTGGCTCTTCTACACACTCACATGTTGAGGATTCCACTTTGTAGCCCCATTTCTGAAGGTTGGCTCTGCATCTTGTGGTGCCAGAGCGCAGTCTGTTCAGTGCCTTCCAAGTCGCCCAGTCCTCTGTGTGCCCAGGGGGGAGTTTCTCATTTGGTATCAGCCATTGGTTGAGGTTCTGGGTTTGAGCCTGCCACTTTTGGACTCTCACTTGCTGAGGTGTTCCAACTAGGCCACAGGCAGAGCCACCCCCCTGCACCTCGCCTTAACAGTTACAAAGTAGCAACATATATAATTTTATGGTTGGGGGTCACCACAACATGAGGAACTGTATTAAGGGGTCACGGCATTAGAAAGGTTGAGAGCCACTGCCCTAGGCAGTCTGGCTAAAGGAGGATTGGGAATAGTGCTTTGAGGCAAAGGAACTGGCAAACATAATCTCCCCACTGGATCTTGGTGCACTCTGGAAATGGAGAGAGCCCTTTTATTTGCAGGAGACTATCAAGATCTATTGAAGTGCAGTTCTTGAAATCACAGGAGAAACTGCCTATATCCCTAACATCAGGGGTCCTCACTTTTTAAACAGAGGGCCGGTTCATAATCCCTCAGACTGTCACAGGGCATAAACTATAGTTTGAAAGCAACATAAACTTTCCAGTATTTCCATGGAAAGTGTGGGCCTGCTTTTGCCTGATGAGATGGTCAAGTTAATTAGGATTTTTGTTGTTGTTTGCCTTCAAGTTATTTCTGACTTAGGGCAACCCTAAGTCCAAAGTTTAGGATGAGGGGCAGATCAATGACCTTAGAAGGCTGCATCTGGCTCAAGGGCCTAAGTTTAGGAACCCCTGCCTAACACCATCACTATTTTAATGGGTTTCGTCTAAGATGAAGGGTCGAATTTTCTCTACACAAGCCTATACTAGCAATTGTCACTAAAAAAATGTGATACCATAGGTCTTGGTCCAAGATCCCAAAACTCAAAATATCTTGCTAAGCCAAACATTTGTGTATCTATGGGTCAGCACAGTAAGTATATTGGCAGTATTTCATAGTTACCCGATTAGTAGCAGATCTACGTCGGATCGCTTCTCCCAAAGAGAAGCCGCTGGCATTAGAAATATGGGTTCCACTGCTGCTTTGGCTCAATAGTTCTTCCTTCTGTCCAGAACGTGGCGGAGTTGTTGCAATAGGCTGGAACAAAACAGTTTTAAAATAATGGTAACAACCACGAGGATTAGGCAACTTGTTCGTCATAATGTTTCAGTCCACAGAGCTACTTAAGTTTTTAAACTGAACGGATATTCCCAAATATTTTATATCATTTGCTTAAATTGACACGGTGAGACATGAATACTCTTCTGCAAAGCTAGAAATACAGCTTAACGGTGTAATGTTAGAAAACGTTGACCATTTCTGCAACCTTGGCAGCCACCTCTCCACAAAAGTCAACATTGACACTGAAATACAACACCACCTGAGCTCTGCGAGTGCAGCATTTTTCTGAATGAAGCAGAGAGTGTTTAAGGATAGGGACATCCGTAGGGAAACCAAGGTGCTTGTTTTAAAGCTATTGTCCTCCCAACCCTGCTATACGCTCTTGAAATGTGAACTGTCTACAGATATCACATGCAATTCCTGGAACGATTCCATCAGCGTTGCCTCCGAAAAATACTGCAAATCTCTTGGGAAGACAGGCGGACAAATGTCAGCATGCTGGAAGAAGAAAAGACCACCAACATTGAAGCAATGTTCCTACACCATCAACTCTGCTGGACTGGCCACGTTGTCCAAATGCCCAATCATCATCTCTCAAAGCGGTTACTCTAACACCAACTCAAGAACAGAAAGCAGAATGTTGGTAGACTATAAAAAAGATTTTAAAATGGACTTAAAGCCAACAATAAAAACTATGGCATAGATACCGAAAACTGGGAAGCTCTGGCCCTTGAGCATTCTAGTTAGAGGTCAGCTGTGACTAGCGGTGCTGTGGAATTCAGAGAGGCATGAATGAAGGTAGAAAGGGAGAAACGTGCCTAGAGGAAGAAGGCGCATCAAGCCAACCCTGACCAGGATTACCTTCCACCTGAAAACTGATGTCCTCACTTTGGAAGTATATGCGAGTCAAGAATAGAGCTCTACAGTCACCTACGTATCCACCACCAAGACACTTCACTTGCAAGGCCATCATGCTTGGACAATGAGGGATCGCCTACGTAACTAAAAAAAAGTTACACTGCACAGCCCAATGACTAGACATGAGGCAACCAAAACCTCCACCAGATTCAATTTAATCATTCTATTTATTTAACTTTCTTATAAGAATCCAATGGATGCAAGGAACCCCCTTCCCCAGTCCAACTTTCAAAGTCCCTCATTCTAATTTACATAAAACTCTCCTTTTTAAACTGTCATAACCAGCTGATAACAAGCAGCTAATCATGACATGCTGGGGTGGCAAATGAAAATTCACAGGTTTTGATTTTAAAGGTCACATTTAAAAATAATTTCAAAACACACATATTTTGCACTGGACTAGCCCCCCAATCCAAGTCAACCTCCTCTGGCTTTAATCAAACTATTAAAAGGCACTGAACTGAGCAGTATGCGCCCACGACCCTCGGGCAAATCGAAAGCAGTGTGTGATGAAGCAAATACTATAAAGCAGTGTTTCTCAACCTGGGGGTCGGGACCCCTGAGGGGGTCGTGAGGGGGTGTCAAAGGGGTCGCCAAAGACCATCAGAAAACATAGTGTTTTCTGTTGGTCATTGGGATTCTGTGTGGGAAGTTTGACCCTATTCTATTGTTGGTCGAGTATAGAATGCTCTTTGATTGTAGGTGAACTATAAATCCCAACAACTACAACTCCCAAATGTCAAGGTCTGTTTTCCCCACACTCCACCGGTGTTCACATTTGGGCATATTGAGTATTCGTGCCAAGTTTGATCCAGATCCATCATTGCATGAATCCACAGCACTCCTCTGGATATAGGTGAACTACAACTCCCAAACTCAAGGTCAATGCCCACGAAACCCTTCCAGTGTTTTCTGTTAGTCATGGGAGTTCTGTGTGCCAAGTTCGGTTTAAATCCATCGCTGGTGGAGTTCAGAATGCTCTTTGATTATAGGTGAACTATAAATCCCAGCAACTACAACTCCCAAATTACAAAACCATTCCTCCTCCCAACCACACTAGCATTCACATTTGGGCATATTGGGTATCTGTGCTCAATTTGCTTCAGTGAATGAAAATCCATCCTCCATATTGGATATTTACATTATGATTTATGACAGTAGTAAAATGACAAGTATCAAGTAGCAATGAAAACAATATTATGGTTGGGGGTCACCACAACATAGGGAACTGCATTAAGGGGTCACGGCATTAGCAAGGTTGAGAACCACTGCTATAAAGGATAATTAGCAGAGGTGAAATGCAGTGACTGTCGCTATTGGATATGCCAAGTAAGGGTGATTATTTGAGAGTTCTCAATGGCCATCAAGTAGATGAGCAAGGCAAAACACGTTGAAAGGGGTGCACAGCGAGAAACTGGAAGCAAAAGACAATGGTCTATTTAACCTTCATGGTAGCCTCCATAAAGCCACAAGAGGACAAGCCACATTTATTCCTCTGTTCTAAACAGAAAAGTGAAGACAACATCACCATAGATAGATGGATAGATGGATGGATGGTCAGGGGGTAAGGTAGCAATTTTTCCCTCCCAGATGTGTATCACCATATAAACTGTCATTACTTGACATCTAGATGATTCTTTGGGCATTAGGATAGCCTCACACTGTTGCTTTTCTCAACTTCATTGGCTCTGAGCCTGCATTCAAGCTCAGTTCAATGTGCTCTTTTCCGTTTGTTATGACCCCTCCAGCTTGGGACCTGCTGGCACATCTGGACCCATCTGGCATTCATAAGAAACAGCCATAGACATGATCTTGACACGTCTGCTATGGAGCCTAGAGCTAGCCACAAAATGGTTGTCATGGGGTTGGGGCAGTCAGCAACGGATCATGTGGTATGAATATTTTCTCAGATGAAATACAGATAAAATGCAGCAAGGAAGAACTAAGTAAGTATGCAAAGAGATACAGACATCTCTATACATACTTCCCATAGAGGTAGATGATTTCAGGGAGGGAAAGATAGAGGGAAGTCACCCCACACTCACAGGATGTTCTTGCCTTCAGATTCGTCCCGCTACCTGCTATTTGTTTAGCAGAGGATTGACCGTTCTATATGCAAGCAGTGACGACATTTATCTCTGATTAAAAGGGGAAAGGGGAGGGAGCCAGCAAGAACCCAACAGGCATCTCAGAATGAAAACAACGAAAAGGAAAAATAGCTCTCCCTACACAAACACACAAGAAAAAAAGAGATAGACGTCTCCAAGTGCCTGCATGATTTATTTATTAATTTGGGACATTTCTATATCGCCTTGCTCCAAGGACTCAAGGTGAGTTACAACCATAGATAAAACATAACAATACAAAATAACCCATGTCGGTCCATGACGGAAGTAAAATTATCAAAATTTCTACTTTGCTCAATGTGTTTCAGTGACACATTTCGTTCTAAAAGCACAAGGAAATATACGAAAAGGGTAGCTAACAAAATTTCATATATCAATGAATTTAAATACATTTAAAATTCATGTTCTTAAAACACAACCAAACAGACACATATCCTTCTATTTACACACCACACTAAACCTAGTAATATCCCTACCTAAAAAGAGACCCACCTCTGCAGGAGTCTACCATATACCATGCAACTGTGAACAAGTCTACATAGGATGTCGTGACCCACAGAACACAGAATGTCTTAAACAGCAGTTGAGGTGCAAAATAGTAGTATTTTAATGCAAAACAAACTAAATGAGGCACTTTAAAAGTCAGTGCCAACAGTTCAAAGGATGTTTTCAAACAGGAACACAAAATGCTAGATAAGCAGGCTTGAATTGCAGCCAAGAAATAACAAGAGATACAATGAACTAGGAGCAGAATACAAAACAAAACAGTCTTTAAGGGTTGCAAGGCATGGAGCAAAATCCGGTAGGCAAACGCGTAGTCAGTCAGTTCCAAGGGTCAAGAAGCCAGATGTACACTCACGAGCGAAGGTTCCAAGGTCCGGAGCACGGCAGGGAAAACAGGATACTGGGAATCCAAAACAAGATTAGGCAGAGAACAACACGAAACAACACTTTGTCGTCTGCAAAGGAATAGGTCCCAGAGTGCTCATTTTATTCACTATCAGAAGAATGAGATTCATTGCTTGCATCTGATTCTGCTCCCGCAGCTGAAGCATCTACACCACGACAAGCCTGCCACCTTTGCTCTAGTGCCTGATCCTGCCAATCAGTACTCTCATTCCCATTATCCCTAAAACCTTCAAAATCATCACTTGATGTTGCTTGATTGCAAATGTCTCTAATGTTCTGAACCAGAGTCCAGTCTACAGTCTCCTCCAACTCATCCTCACTATCACTGGAGTTATCTGCTGTGTCTCTAAGCCTCTTAGACATAGTGTCACTCTCACTGCCAGAATCACTAGCCACTCTCTTCACTCCCCTGTAATCTGCTTCCATAGCCTCCTCTGGCCTGAATCCTGCAAAGTCTTCTTCATCACTGGGAGCCAGAAAGATGTCACGAATGCGTTTCAGCTGGTGCTGATTCTCCTCTGTTTCTGCATCACTCCTTCTTCTTCTCCTACTACTAGTAGTAGGTATGGTGTCAGAATGCTGACTCACAACATAGGAACCACCAAACACAGCATTGCCTAGGCACTAATCAATTATTTATTATTTATTTATTTATATAGTAATATAGAATGCTGATATTGTACTATGCTAATAATATAATATGGTGTGTGTGTGTGTGTGTGTGTGTATTATTGTAAGCTGCTGAGACCCCATTGGGGTGAGAAGGGCAGCATATAAATGTCGTAAATAAATTAAATAAATACATAAAATAATAGAGATAGAGAATCAAGTGAAGTGTAGATACACACACACAACATACACACACACCTGTGGAATAATGCTCAGGGTGGGAGAAAGAATCCTTGTCTGTTAAAGCAAGTGTGAATGTTGCAGTGAGCCACCTTGAATAAACATTTGAGTAGCCATGAAATTTGCAAAGTCAATTAGTCAATCAGAGACCATGCAAAAAGAATCTGCGAACCCCACCTCCTCCAAGACGATCTGAACCACCTAAACTAGGCTTTACAGGCATCAGAAGAGCTGCAAGACCAAGAAGAAGCCAAGAGAGTTGAGACAAAGATCCATCCAGAGGAAAGGTGTTTTTGGCATACATCAAGGGAACCAATGACCACATAGGGAAGCTGATGAGGAAACACAACATACAAACTATCTACAGACCCACCAAGAAAATCCAACAAATGCTATGTTCAGCAAAGGACAAGAGGGATCCTCTCACTTCTGCAGGAGTCTACCGTATACCATGCAGCTGTGGACAAGTCTACATAGGGACCACCAAACGCAGCAGCATTGCCCAAACACGAATCAAGGAACATGAAAGGCACTGCAGACTACTTCAACCAGAGAAGTCAACCATAGCAGAGCACCTGATGAACCAACCTGGACACAGCCTAATACTTGAGAACACTGGCATGCTACCATGTCAGGTTACACAGAGAAGCCATTGACATCCACAAGCACGTGGACAATGTCAACAGAAAGGAGGATACCATGAAAACAAACAAAATCTGGCTACCTCTCAGGAGACTTATTACTAATTGGCAATCAGTTCCTGCTTTAGATTATAAAGAAAGTCATTCAACTCAAAGCAAATGGTGATATTTGTTTTCATTAATCTGAAATTAAATCCAGACAAGACAGAGGTACTCCTGGTCAGTCGCAAGGCCGAACAGGGTATAGGGTTACAGCCTGTGCTGGACGGGGTCGCACTCCCCTTGAAGGCGCAGGTTCGCAGCTTGGGTGTAACCCTGGACTCATCGCTGAGCCTGGATCCCCAGGTTTCAGCGGTGACCAGGGGTGCATTTGCACAGCTTCGGCTTGTGCGCCAGTTGCGCCCGTATCTTGGGAAGTCTGACTTGGCCACGGTGGTACACGCTTTGGTCACATCCCGCCTCGACTACTGCAACGCTCTCTACGTGGGGCTGCCCTTGAAGACGGCCCGGAAGCTCCAGCTAGTCCAGCGCGCGGCAGCCATGTTGTTAACCGGAGCGGGACGCAGGGAGCACACAACGCCCTTGCTGTCCCAGCTCCACTGGCTGCCGATCAGCTACCGGGCCCAATTCAAGGTGCTGGTGCTAACCTACAAAGCCCTAAACGGTTCCGGCCCAAAATACCTTGAGTACCGCATCTCGGCCTACGAGCCCACGAGGACCTTGAGATCATCCGGGGAGGCCCTTCTCTCGGTCCCGCCAGCCTCACAGGCACGCCTGGCGGGGACTAGAGACGGGCCTTCTCGGTGGTGGCCCCCCGGCTGTGGAACTCCCTCCCTGCTGAAATTAGACAGGCGCCTTCCCTCATGGCCTTTCGCAAGGGCCTGAAAACCTGGCTCTTCGAAAAGGCCTTCAATTAAGTGCTATGTTTTGGAATGACCACCGGAATGGACTATGACTACGAGATTGATTATGACCCAAACAAGACGAAGCGGATTTTTAGCTATGTGTTAGTAAGATGTGTGTTATGGTCCTGATCTACTGTAACTGTTGTCTGTATGTTTTATGTTCTGTACACCGCCACGAGTCGCCTTCGGGCTGAGAGTGGCGGTCAACAAGTGCAAATAATAAATAAATAAATAAATAAATAAGCCAAATGTGATGTTATTAATTACTTAAATGTTGTATTCCATCATTCTACTTGTCTTAGCCAATGGTTTGTTGACCAAAATAAAGGCTACTTACTGACTGGCTACCAGTATTGAAAAAAACCGCTAAAATCAGGATGGCAAATAAAGAACAACACTCAAAAACAGGGGAACTCCAGACAAGAAACAACCAGGGACAGCTAACACCTCCCAAAAAAGGATTCCACAGTCAGGAAGAAGCCAGGCTTTGAAGCTGCAAGGCCATCCAATGCTAATCAAGCTGGCCAACTGCACCATTCACATTTGCCTCAAACAGTTCTTTCTCTCACCCTGGACATTCCACAGATATAAAACCCCACTTGCCTATAGACCTCATAACCTCTGAGGATGCCTGCCATAGATATGGGCAAAACATCAGGAGAGAATGCTTCTGGAACATGGCCAGACAGCCCAGAAAACTCACAGCAACCCAGATCCACTGATGTCAATGCAACATGTTAGTTGTGATTAATACATATAATAATACTAGATTTAGCCCAAGTCCTCAAAACATGGCAAATGTGTGTTCCATGCCCTACTCTTCTATTAAACATTTGCAGAAAAAACTTTATTTTATTTTTTAAGAACAGAACAGGTATAAGGCCCAATAAAAGGTTTTTAAATCTGCTGTTTACTGTGACAGAGAACAAAGTTAGTTTCATGTATTGTCGAAGGCTTTCATGGCTGGAATCACTAGGTTCTTGTGGGTTTTTTCGAGCTATAGGGCCATGTTCTAGAGGCATTTCTCCTGACGTTTCGCTTGCATCTATGGCAAGCACACTCACTACCTCTGAGGATGCTTGCCATAGATGCAGGCGAAACGTCAGGAGAAATGCCTCTAGAACATGGCCCTATAGCCCGAAAAAACCCACAAGAACCTAAAGTTAGTTTCACCATTAGACTCTAAGACCAATCCACGCCATCCCTCAAATATGCTATCAAATGGATATTATTGTGAAGAAGAGGCTAAGAAATAAACGTAATTCCTTCCCAGAAAGCTATAACTGTCTACCAGTTTCCATTAGGTGCAAATAAAAAACTGACATGTAATCTACCCACGTTTCTCGCAGTGGCAATTGGTGAGCCTGTTTAAGGTGTGTGCCACATTTCTGTACTCAGACAAAAACAGAATAAACACTAAAACTACATTTGGTTTTACAGTTTTAAAAAACCACACATTTTAACAGTCAAAAAATCAGTCCGAGGGCAATTTCAGTGTGGTGGCCACACAACAAAAAGAAAGAATCCAAAGACAGTAAAACACAAGGGCAAAGTGAAAGAGAGAGAATAAGAGAAATAGAGGAGACAACAGGATTTGTGCATAAATGGGACATTAATATATTACTGTATATACTAGAGTATAAGCCTAGTTTTTCAGCCATTTTTTTAGGCAGAAAAAGTCCCCCTTGGCTTATACTCGAGTCAAGGTTATTTATTATTTTACTCTGTTATTATTATTATTTTCATTTCATTTATTATTTTATTCTATTTATTATTATTACATTTATCATTTTACTCTATCATTACACATTTATTATTTTACTGTATAATTGTTATTGCTACATTCCTTATTTTACTCTTTTATTATTATTGTTATTATTACATTTTTTTATGTTGCTCTCTTTATTATTATTGGAAGGATACGTAAGCACATTTACATTGAAGTATATAGAAGTGAGGTTACTCTCAGTGACCCCTTTATAATCTTGTTTACTAATCAGCCTCCACGTCGTCCCATAATAATTCACTATATTGTCTAAGACTTCATCCCAAACATTGAAAAATTATTTATTATTTAAAATTTTTATATCCCGATCTTCTTACCTCCGTCGGGGGACTCAGACCGGCTTACAGCAAGGATTCAATGCTATTAACACAAGTTAAAATATCATACAACAATACAAGATTAAAATACACTAATATCCACTAATTTCACACACTCTATAGATCAGTGTTTCTCAACCTGGGGGTCGGGACTCCTGTGGGGGTCGCGAGGGGGTGTCAGAGGGGTCGCCAAAGACCATCAGAAACCACAGTATTTTCTGTTGGTCATGGGGGTTCTGTGTGGGAAGTTTGATCCAATTCTATCATTGGTGGGCTTCAGAATGCTATTTCATTGTGGGTAAATTATAAATCCCAACAACTACAACTCCCAAATGTCAAGGTCTATTTTCCCCAAACTCCACCAGTGTTCACATTTGGGCATACTGAGTATTTGTGCCAACTTTGGTCCAGATCCACCATTGTTTGAGTCCACAGTGTTCTCTGGGTGTAGGTGAACTACAACTCCAAAAACTCAAGGTCAATGTCCACCAGACCCTCCCAATATTTTCTCTTGGTCATGGGAATTCTGTGTGCCAAGTTTGATTAAATTTCATCATTGGTGGAGTTCAGAAGGCTCTTTGATTTTAGGTGAACTATAAATCCCAGCAACTACAACATTCCCAAATAACAAAATCAATCACCCCCATCCCACCAATATTCAAATTTGGGCATATCGGGTATTTGGGATTTGAATATACATCCTGCATATCAGATATTTACATTATGATTCAAAATTATAGCAAAATTACAATTATGAAGTAGCAACAAAAATGTTATGTTTGGGGGTCACCACAACATGAGGAACTCTACTAAGGGGTCACAGCATTAGGAAAGCTGAGAAACACTGCTATAGATTCAGTGGGAATAGAGTAAGAAGACAGCATCATTTCAGAATTAAGTGACACATGGAGCCCAACCTCAGAACTTACCAAAGATGGACCTTTCCCTCTTCAAAAGGAGTGGGACGTGCAACTATTTCCGATGTCCCCAAGCCCACGGATGGAAAGCAGCAAAGAAAAGCATGACAGGTTCTTCTCTACCCAACACTCACTCCACAATAGTGGTGGAATTACAGCCCTTCTATACCTCTACTATACTTCTGTCATAAAGGTGGAAGCATTTGTGGAATTCATTTGCCTCGTCTTGACAATGTTCAGCAGTTGTCAAGGCAGGTTATATCCCGATACAGACTGATGAGAAGCGCCCATGTTGAACTAAATGCACACAATGCACTGGGAGCAGTTCTTAGAAAGTGTGTCACCCATTTGGGCTCATTTTATTGCTTCTTCTATGAAGAACGATGGGCAAGATAAGAGAAATACATGAAAGACTCCTTCTACAACACCAGAGAGTGGGACGGCAGGAAAGGGAGCTTTGGGGTTAGGAGCAAGGACCTTTCTTGGTCCTTTTGAGAAGAGGATGCCTTGGAGATGGGCATGAGCGGTATGGCGGCGCTGAAGTACGTGGGTCTGGACGACACCGACAGCGAGGAGGAGAGGACCACCAAACACGGCTGGGTCTACTACGCCAACCTTGAATAAATGAGACCCCAAGGGCCATCCAGTCCAGTCTTCTGCCACGCAGGAATACACAATCAAAGCACTCCTAACAGATGGCCATCTAGCCTGTTTTTAAAAAACTCCAGAGAACGAGACTTCACCAGACTCTGAGGCAATGAGTCCCACTGCTGAACAGCTCTTACAGTCAGGAAGTTTTTCCTAATCTGGAAAATCTCTTTCCCTGCAATGTGAACCCATTATTTGATGTCCTGGTCTCTAAAGATGGCCAGGAGACAGTTCCACCTTGTCTCCTGTATTATTCTAATAATATAATATAATATAATATAATATAATATAATATAATATATTGTATATACATATATACAGCTTACTTGTCCGAACGCATTCACCCCTACGTCCCACCTCGTAATCTAAGACTAAAAACCTGGATGTTCGAGCAGGCGTTCGGTTAACTCAGTGCAATAAGTGTAATGATTGAAGGACTGGCAATTTGGACGACGAAACTGGATCGCGATTTTAGTCAAGAGATGAATTGGATTGTTTATTGATATATGTATTGTGGATTGTGTTTTTATGTTTTTAAACTGTATACTGTTGTTTGTTATAAGTTGTTGTAAACCGCGTTGAGTCGCCGGCTAGGCTGAGAAACGGCGGTATACAAGTATAGCAAATAAAAAAATAAATAAATAAGATCTAAGATAATCCGGGGAGGCCCTGCTCTCGCTCCCGTCAACAGCACAGATGCATCTGGCAGAGATGAGAGACAGGGCCTTCTCGGCTGTGGTTTCCTGCCTATGGAACACACTCCCAAATAAGGTAAGAGCTGCTCCCTGCCTCCTGGCTTTTAGAAGAAAATTAAAATCATGGTTTTGGAACCAGGCCTTCAGGCAGTAGAAGTAAATGTATGCAGCATTTCAGAAAGACAATGACTGGAATGGCGATTCGACGGATGAGACTGTTTTATTGTTTTAATGATTGTTTTATTGCTTGTGAATGCACTGTTTTTAACTTGATTTATGTCTAATTGTAATGTATAATTGTAATTGTTTGTACTGGCATTGAATTTTGTCATTACTTATGTGTAAACCGCTTTGAGTCCCCCTCGGGGTGAGAAAAGCGGTATGCAAATACTGTAAATAAATAAATAAATATTTATAATATTATAATGTAATGCAATATAATACTACTAATAATATGATAATTCTATATTTATATTACATGTAATATTACTAATAATATTACAATATAATGGTATAGTACAATATAGTAATATTTAATACTGATACTGTGCTATGCTAATAATATAATATATTGTATGTATATATATACCTTGTAAGCAGCTCTGAGTCCCCTTCGAGGTGGGAAGGGCGGCATATAAATGTCGTAAACAAATAAATATAAATGAAGATGCCAGCCCCAACTCAAATCTCTAGGATTACAGAGAGAATGAATGTATTCAGTTTTTCCATGCAAGCATGCAAATGAAGCATTACCAAGTATTCTTTTGAGAAAACTGAGGAAATTGAAGCCAGTAACAAAAGCCAAACAGAATGCCTCATCCTTCAAAAGACAGCCAATTAACTAACCTCGGAGACGGCACATTAGCAATTGGAGGAAGTTGACAGAAACAACACATTTTACATTGCCTGGTTGCCAAAAAGGAGAGCATGGAGAAAATAAGAAAATGAAAGAGCAGTGCCAAAGGAATACAAATGTCCAAGAAGTTGTGCCATTTGGTGCAGATATTGCGTGGAATAATATTTATCCTGGCGGCTTTCAGAAACAATTACTAACAGACCATAGCTTCAAATCAGCAAAACTGGAATAATTTCTTTCTAGGGACCTGAGTCTAACTAACCTAAAGGGAAGAATAGATTTTAAAGTAAAAGATTGAGCAAGGGAATTTAGTTTTATCAAAAACAGATATTAAAGATGTGGGATTGATAGCTGTGCAATTAGGTTCACTTCACCACAGGAATAATGAAGAATGTTTCTGCCGTAAGTAATTTACTTTATTTTAATGTATTGTCGAAGGCTTTCATCGCCAGAATCACTGGGTTGTTGTAGGTTTTTTCGGGCTATACGGCCATGTTCTAGAGGCATTCTCTCCTGACGTTTCGCCTGGCCAAGTTAGACTTTACGAGTTACGGGCGCAGCTGGAGCACAAGTTTTAACTGCGCAAAGGCCCTCCCAGCCACCGTCAAAACCTGAGCATCAAGTGTCAAAGCAGAGTCCAGAAGGACTCCCATAGGTTGGTTTTCCATTCATAAAATGGAAAATCTACCTATTTAGCAAATCTTGCAAATGCTGATTTATTATCACTGTCTTATATACCTACATATTCAGGGTCACGTGAAAACTTTTTGGGCAGAAAGCAGTCATGAAAGACTTAAGAAGCCCTGATCCATGCTCTGGCTTTCAAGGAAAATATTTTATGCGCCCACACTTCCCATTGAAATACTAATAAGTTTATATTTGTTAAAAATTGTTCTTCATTTTAATTATTGTACTGTTAAGTATCTTTTACACTACAAATAAAATATGTGCAGTGTACATAAGAATTCATTCATGGCTTCTTTTCAAATTATAATCCAGCCCTCCAACAATTTGAGGGACTGTAACCTGTCCCTCTGTTTAAAAAGTTTGAGGACCCCTGCAATAAGGCACAGAAAAGGAACCTTTGGCGTTCATAAGTTGAGTCGCCTAAGGGCTGAGAAAAGCGGTATATAAATGAAGTAAATGAATAAATAACACAACAAAGTAAACAGACTTCCCATCAAACTGTCTTTTTGCTCTTACCAACTAGAAGAGTGCTTCTCAACCTTAATACCACGACCAATTAATACAGTTAATACACCATAAAATCATATTTCTTACTACTTCATAACTGTAATTTTGCTACTGTTATGAATCATAATGTAAATATCTTCAGTCACTGGATCAAATTTGGCACAAATATCTGATACACCCAGATGTGAATACTGGTTGGGTTGGGGGGTGGGTTGATTTTGTTATTTGGGAGTTTTACTTGCTGGAAATTATAGTTCACCTACAATCAAAGAGCATTCCGAACCCCACCAACAATGGAATTGAACCAAATTTGGCACACAGGATTCCCATGACCAACAGAAAACACTAGAAGGGTTTGGTGGGCATTGACCTTGAATTTTGGAGTTGTAGTTCACCTTCATCCAGCGAGCACTGTAGACTCAAACAATGATGGATCTAGACAAAGCTTGGCAGAGATACTCAATATGCCCAAATGTGAACACTGGCAGAGTTTGGGGAAAATAGATCTTGACATTTGGGAGTTGTAATTGCTGGGATTTATAGTTCACCTACAGTCAAAGAGTATTCTGATCCCCACAAATGATAGAATTGGCTCAAACTTCCCACACAGAACTCCCATGACCAACAGAAAATACTGTGTTTTCTGATGGTCTTTGGCGACCCTTCAGACTCCCCCGCGACCCCCCAGGAGTCCCGACCCCCCAGGTTGAGAAACGCTGAACTAGAAAGTGAAAATTACAAGTTTTCCCATCAGAAAACCAGCTTTAATATCTCCTAATTTGTCTTACATACCTTTAAAATGCACCCTTAAATAGTCTGGCACAATGGTAGTTATAATTTGGGGGAAGACCATAAGAAACTGATGCCCAATCAAAACTAGAATTATTTTCTGACACAGGCCTCTTTGACATAAAAGACAGGGTTATATATTTACAATCCAAGTGTCCGCATCACCTCCTGTCTTCCTAGGTCATGTCTTCTTATTCTGTAACCTACTTAACAGCAAAGGCCCAAACCAGGCTGCCATATTATGTCTACTTAGCAGTTCTGAGATGATTTGAGACAGTCCCTGGAGCACCGTATAACTGGCATGGGTGACAGCCTTTCTCCTTTCATAGTATTTTCTTAAGCAAAGAATCCCCAGAGGTGGTTTTGACAGTTAATTCCTCTGAAATATACTCTACGGCACCTGGTATTTATTGGGAGTTTTCCATTCAAGTAATAAGCTGGACTGACCTTGCTTAGTTTCCAAGATCGGAAGGAATATGATGCCTTTAGAAAGAATGGTAAGATAAAAAAGACTACCTAAATGTGTTAGATCTCTGTCTGGAATTATACTGACAGATTTATAAACCAAGGTCACTCCATGGGTTTCTGTGGTTGGGCAGGGATTCAAGCCCTAGTCTCCAAAGTCCTAATGTACATCCACACTGTAAAATTAATGCCGCTTGCTATCGCTTTAGCTGCCATGACTCAATGCTACAGAATCCTGGGAGTTGTAGTTTGGTGAAAAGGAATGTTCAGACTGGAAACAGCAACAAAAAAGCCCACTATATGGTTCAGATATGTGGATGACACCTTCGCCATTTGGAGCCATGGAGAAGAAGATCTAAACAAGTTGCTGGACCACCTTAACAGCATCCACCCAAACATCCAATTCACCATGGAAAAAGAAAATGAAGGAAAACAGCAATTTCTATAAGTGTTCTTGCCAGACATCAAGGGAACCACTGACCGCACAAGGAAGCTGACAAAGA